CGGCGTACCATAGACTTGCTCGAATTTCAGCTACTCAGAGGAGACTTGAGGTATAACTGCACGATGTTCGCAGTTCTGAAGTCCCCGTCTACTTTACTTTAGTTGTGTGTTTATTTACAGACAACTTTATTTTATTCAGACCTTTATTTGTATTTATTCTAGAAGCTCGTGCACTTGTGACACCAATTCTAGGATGGTATTTAGACACCGTTATTTTTATGGATTAATCATTATATTTTAGACCTTACTTCCGCGTTTATTTCTTTGTTATTAATAAATTTAAAGATTGCTTAAAAATTGGTTAATATCATTCTAACGTTGGCTTGCCTAGCAAGTGAAATGTTAGGCGCCATCACGGTCCCAAGGTGGGAATTTCGGGTCATGATAGTTGGTATCAGAGCCCTNCAACCCGCTCTTATCATATATTCCCACTCAATTCTGTTGCAGCGTGCAACCCGCTCTCACAATATATTCACATTACTCAAGTGTGTTGCGGCGTGCAACCTGATCCTCCAATATTGACTTTTAATAGGTCTGTTGCGGCGTGCAACCTGATCCTCCAATATTGAATTTTAATAAGTCTTTTGCGGCGTGCAACCTTATCCTCCAATATTGACTTTTAATAAGTCTGTTGCAGCGTGCAACCCGATTCTCAAATATTGACTTTTAATAAGTCTGTTGCGGCGTGCAACCCGATCCTCCAATATTGATTTCTAATAAGTCTGTTGCGACGTGCAACCCGATCCTCCAATATTGACTTTTAATAAGTTTGTTGCGGCATGCAACCCGATCTTCCAATATATTCATTATAATCAATCCTGTTGCGGCATGCAACCCGCTCCTCCAACATTTTCATTTACCAATTCTTATAGAAGAAATTTTCCCAATAAATATAACAATTAATATAGAATTTTAAGACAACAAGCATACAATAATTATGGTTTAATTATGAAGCAAACAATGACAAATAGCAAATTATTATAGAAATCAGGGAGCAAATAGGCAGTTTAATATTTAATATGCTAAATGTCAAATAACAATTAAGGCACATAATTCAAATAGCATGTAACAATTAATATAAGAATTCAAAAATTTATATTTGCAAAGAATGAGAGAGAAACAATTATTATAATAATTAATTTATGATTAAAAATAATTTATAATTTTTCAATTAAGCATGCAAATAATTAATTTGATGATGTATAGACACTCGTCACCTCGCGTATACGTCATTTGCATGCAATTCACATAACAAACAATTTAAGGGTTCTATTCCCTCAAGTCAAGGTTAACCCCGACACTTACCTCGCTTTGTAATTTCCAATCAATTATTCAACCATAACTTTTCCTTTTAAATTTGCCTCCGAAAGCTTCAAATCTATTCACAAACAATTCAATATATTCAATACTAATCATAGGAATTAATTCCATATGAATTTACAAATTTTTCAGATAAAAATCTGAAATTAATTAAAATATTTGGCAGTAGGACCCACATCTCAAATCCCAGAAAAACTTACGAAATCCGAACACCCGTTCCGATACGAGTTCAACCATACCAAATTTGTCCAATTGCGATATCAAATGGACCTTCAAATCTTAATTTTTTATTTTTGGAAAGTTTTACAAAAATTCTAATTTCTTCCATCTAAATCCGAAATAAATGATAAATATAGACATGGATTTGCTAAATACAATCACTATATGATAAAGAACACTTACCCAGTTCGAAATCGTGAAAAACTCCTTTGAAATCACCCTAAGCCGAGTTATAATTGAGGGTTTGTGAAAAATGGGAAAAATCCCGTTTTTGGTTCTGTTTTAAGTCACAGGGGTCAGGCCTTCTTCGCGTTCGCGAAGGGCCTGTCACGTTCGCGATGAGTAGCTGCCCGTGGCTTACGCGTTCGCGAGTGCTCCTTCGCGTTCGCGAAGATTTCCCCCCTTGTTCTTCGCATTCGCGAGGCATAACTCGCGTTCGCGCTGAAGGAATGATCGACCCTCCACCAGGTGTGCCTAACACTACGCGTTCGCGAGGAGATGGTCGTGTTCGCGAAGGGTAATGCCCCCATCGCTTCGTGTTCGCGAAAAAAAATATCCAGCTGCCCAGTTTACTCTTCGCGTTCACGAGAGTACCTTCGCGAATGCGAATAAGAACATGCCAGAAGACCGGGTGCAGCAAATACCAGATTTTCAAAGTCCAAAATATCTCTTAGCCTATCCGAAACTCCCCCGAGCCCTCGAGGCTCCAAACTAAACATGCACACATGTTCTAAAACATCATATAAACTTGCTTGCATGATCGAAGCGCCGAAATAACACCTAGAGCTACGAATCGGGCACCAAATCAAAAGAAGTTTTCAAGAAAACTTTAAAACTTATATTTTTACAACCGGACGTTCGAATCACGTCAAGTCAACTCCGATTCTCACCAAATTTGGCAGATAAGTCATAAATATTATAGTGGACCTATATCGGGCTCCAGAACCAAAATAGGGACCCGAGGTCAATAAATCCAACATCAGTAATTTCTTAGAAATCATTAAGCTTTCAAGTTTTTAATTTTTCATCAAAATTCCATATCTCGAGCTAGGGACCTTGAAATTCGATTCCGGGTATACGCCCAAGTCCCAAATCACGATACGGACCTACTGGAATTTTCAAAATACTGATCCAGATCCATTTGCTCAAAATGTTGCCCAAAGTCAACTTAGTTGAGTTTTAAAGCTCTATTTCCCATTTTAATCCATTTTTCACATAAAATTTTTTTGAAAAAATGTACGGACTGTGCACACAAGTCGAGGAATGATAAATGGTGCTTTTCGAAGTCTTAGAACACAAAATTGCTTATTAAATTTAAAGATGACATTTTGGGTTATCACAAAGGGGTTCCGGTCCTTGGATAGGTTCGCTCCCGATAGAAGGACTGACCGTGGCCAAAGCAACAGATCATTACAAGAAAATGAGGTATCGGGGACCCCGAATTCCATATATCCTTGGTTGTCGGATTACAATTTCAACATCAGCATAGTGGAGTTGGTATCGGCGATGAGGAACATCAAAGAAGCACAATTTCCGAAGCCAATCAGATCCGATCCTAGCCAGAGGGATCCTAACTTATGGTGCGAATATCATGGGACTCACGGCCACAGAACTGGGGACTGGCGACATCTGCGTAAAGAGGTGGCGATGTTGTTGAAGAATGGCCATCTCAAGGAGTTCTTGAGTGTCCGAGCCAAGAATAATTACAGTCAGAGCCTGGACAATGCAGAGCCTTCGATGATAGCATAAGACTCCTATTCGGTTGACTATCAATATGATTTTCGGGAAGAATGAAATTAATGGTGTAACCTTCTCGGCAACCAAGAAAAAAAGATATTAGTAACGCACAACAAGAGACTCCAGGAGGTCGTAGAAGATGACATCACTTTTACGGAGGAAGATACCGTCGGACTTCTTCTGCCACATAATTATGCCTTTGGTTGACCCAAGAAGATCAGCCAACATCATTCAAAAGAGAGTGATCGAACAAACAAAGTTCACCGGAAGCATCATTCCGGTAACAAAGCTCCTCGCTGGGTTTAACTTGGTAAGTGTGACAACCCGGGGAGAGATCCTGTTGCCTACAAATACTGAAGGGGTGACCAAGACCACCTTATTTGAAGTAGTAAACGTCGACATGGGTTACAACATAATCCTCGGAAGGCCATGGATATATGAGATAAAGGTTGTGCCCTCAATATATCATCAACTCCTGAAATTCCCGACCACGGAAGGAATCAAACAGATAAGATGAGATAAACTATAGCAAGAGAGATGAAAGCGGTATCGATTTCCAACAGTAAAGGGAAGAAGCCCAGAAAATAGCAATTACAGGAACTGATGCCTTCTCCCTTGCCAAATAAAGATGATAAAGACGAGGGGTCTTCAGAATCACACCAGGTGCCGAGATACTTTCAGGTACCGGAGGAGATAGATGCAACCAAGACCACTGCAGAGGAACTCGAGCAAGTGGCCTTGTTCGAAGAATTCTTAGAAAGGAAGTTTTACTTGGGAACAGGACTCAATCCCAAACTCAGGCCAGGATTTATTAATTTTCTTAAAGCTAACGTTGATTATTTTGCATGGTCGCACTCAGATACGACATGTATCCCGCTAGAGGTGGCCATGCACAAGCTAAGCCTGGACCCAAATTTCCCACCGGTAAGGCAAAAGAAATGCCCAATAGCCGATGTCAGAAATAGGTTTGTTAAAGAAGAGGTAACCCGACTACTCGATATCGGTTCAATCGGGGAGGTAAAATATTCAGAATGGTTAGCTAATATAGTTGTAGTTCCAAAGAATAATAACAAGTTTAGAATGTGCGTAGATTATAAGGACTTAAATAAGGCGTACCCTAAAAATTTGTTACCATTGCCAAACATTGGTCAAATGATTGATGCAATGGTCAGGCACGAGTTAATGAGTTTCCTTGATGCCTACTCCAGGTACAATTAGATCAAGATGAATCCGGAGGATCAGGAAAAAAATTCTTTCATAACAAATTTCAGCACATATTGTTACAATGTGATGCCATTCGGGCTTAAAAATGCCGGAGCCACTTATCAAAGGCTCGTTAATAAGATGTTTGAAAGATAAATAGGCAAAACAATGGAAGTATATATCTATGACATGTTAGTCAAGTCTTTGAATGTAGGTGATCATTTGAAAGACCTCCAAGAAACCTTCGACATATTGAGGAAGCATAACATGAAACTCAACCCGGAAAATGTGCGTTCAAGGTTGGATCCAGTAAGTGTTTGGGGTTCTTAGTCTCACAAAGAGGGATCAAGGTTAATACCAATAAAATCAAAGCCATCCCGGACCAGCTAACGAGCGTAAAAGAAATACAGAGGCTAACCGGAAGATTGGCCAAGTTAAGCAGGTTCATATCTCGATCCTCGGAAAAATGTCACCACTTCTTCTCACCTTTGAAGAAGAAAAATAATTTTGAATGAACTCTGAAATGCCAGCAGGCCTTGAGAGACCTGAAATGGTACCTATCAAGTCCCCCGCTACTATCAAAATCGGGGGAAGGTGAACAATTATTGATATATCTAGCGGTCTCGGAAGTAGCGTTAAGTGCAGTTTAGGTCCGAAAAGACGAATATACGCAATTTCTTGTTTATTATGTTAGTAAAATATTATCAGGAGTGGAGAATTGCTATCCGCACATCAAGCATTTGGCCTTAGCTCTCGTAGTCGCCTCTCGAAAGCTTAGGCATTATTTTCAGTGCCACCCGATTGCTGTTGTGACAATCTTCCCTTTGCAAAATCTTCTTCCCAAGACTGAGTTGTCAGGCCGGTTGGCTAAATGGGCAGTCGAAATTAGCGAATTCGACATTGAGTACAATCTCAGGACTGCAATCAAGTAACAGGTTTTGGCCGACTTCGTGGCTGATTTGAGTCCCAGGTTAATGCCCTTAGCTACTAAAGAGGCAGTTATGGTGTCGGAAACTACATCAGGAATTTGAACCTTGTTTACGAATGGAGCTTCCAATGTAAAATGGTTCGGGCTCGGGGTAGTTTTCGTCACACCCTTGGGAGAAACCCTGAGGCAGTCCATTAAGACTATTCCGTTAACTAACAATGAAGCCGAGTATGAGGCTTTGATTGCAGGACTAGAACTAGCCTGACAACTTGGCTCCGAGGTCATCGAGATCAAATGTGATTCCAACCAAGTATACAATATTTTTGATACAGAAGAGTAACGCATGCAACAGTATGTGCACAAGGTTCTTGCTTGCATGATTCATGGAATGGTCGATCATACACATTCCGAGAGAAGAGAACATGGAAGCAGATGCATTGACTAATTTGGGGTCATCCATGGAGATGAAAGGATTTGACTATGATACTGTTGTTCAACTTCTACATTCGGTACTAGATGTGGACGATTATTGTGAAGTCAATTCAACAAACCTAGTATGGGACTGGAGGAACGAGTTCGTCGAATATCTTTGGCATGGAAAATTGCCTGAAGACCCGAAGGTGTCCCGTGCACTACGCGCCAAAGCAGCTCGTTATTGCCTCATGGATAGGAAATATAACGAAGATCGTACCATGGTCCATTGGCCCGATGTCTGGGAGCCTCGGAGACAGATTACATGATGAAAGAAGTCCATGAAGTAATTTGCGGGAACCATTCCGATACAGATTTGTTGGTACTAAAGCTAGTTAGGGGAGGATATTATTGGCCCCAGATGGAATAAGATGCAAAGACGTTCGTTCAGAAATGCGACAAATGTCAGTGCTATGCACAATCAGTACATCAACCGACAAAAATCTTGCATTCGGTACTATCCCCGTGACCATTCATGGAATGGGGAATGGATATAGTTGGTCCACTTCCATAGGGTCCCCAAAAGGTTAGATTCCTCTTAATTTTTAACTGATTACTTCACTAAATAGGTTGAAGCATGTCCTTACCAAAAGATCGGTAAGCGCAAAGTGGTCAACTTTCTATGGGACCACATAATCTCCCGATTCGGAATACCAAAGGAGATCTTGCAACAACGGACCACAATTCAAAGGCTCAAAAGTCACAAAATTTCTAGAAGATTTGAAAATCAAAAGGATTACATCCTCACCATACCATCTGAGTGTTAATGGACAAGTGGAGTCGACCAATAAGGAGATTATCCAAAACCTCGAAAAGAGGTTAGAAACTACTAAAGGCAAATAGCCCGAAGAGTTACCGGGTGTGCTATGGGCATATCAGACGATGGCAAAATTGAGCACGGGAGAGACGCCTTTATTTATCCTATATGGCGCAGAAGCTCTAATATCGATGGAAGTAGGGGAACCAACCTTACGGGTTTCCACAGCAAACGAGGAAGTAAGTAATGAGGCATTATTGATGAAGCTGGATCTGCTCGATGAACGCAGGGACTTGGCACACGTGAGGATGGTAGATCAAAAGCAAAGAATTGAAAGATACTATAATCGGAGGGCCAATATCTACTATTTCAAAGTGGGAGACTTGGTTTTGAGGAAGGTGACTCTCAGTAAATCAACTCTGGGAAGCTGGGTCCAATATAGGAAGATCCCTACCGAGTTTCAGTTGTCACGGTAAGGGATCGTACAAACTAGACAATCAAGATTGAGTAAAATTGCCTAGCAATTGGAACGTGACTCATCTCAAAAGGTATTATTGCGGATGGATCTCATCAAATACTGAAAGTATGTGTTGTACTTTTTTTTCTTTCGACCAGTTATTTTCCCAATCGGGGTCTTCAGGCAAGATTTTTAACGAGGTAGCAACAGAAAGCATACTACAAAAGACGCGCCATCGGCAAGATTAAGACCTTTAATTGAAAAGGCATTGAAATGATGAACCACTATGGAAAGGTTAAATAATCTTCGGCTCAATGGAAAGTTCCTAATGGGAAACAAAACTTGCCATCGAACCAAAGACTATTTAACCGTTCACGAGTTATTTGCACCAACAAAGCAAGACTTCCAGTGTTCCAATTCACATAATTCGCGTTCGAATAATGGGGGGAATAGTATAATATACGGAAGAAAGAATGCCACGAAAAACAGGGATTGCGATTATCGGGAACAATAATGTCTCATCGAGACCGGAGACTGCATGGTCAATCCCGTAAAAATAAGTTGTACAAGTTTTCCACATGTATTGGCAGTTTCTTTTTTCCTTTAGCAAACGAATGCTTATGTACTTTTAAATATATAAGGAATAAAATAAAGTCCTTTTATTTTTATCTTGTTTCTTGTCCAAATGATGAGTTGATTTTATCATTAAAAGTTAACAAAAAATTTCAAATAGTCTTGCCGAAATGAAAAGGAGACGTCCTCTTTAAGAGCACTCTAAACATAAGAGGGCCCTCTCTTATGAAACCATCATAGTAAAGGATTGATTTCGGAAAGATTCATGCTCGAAATCAGAATCTATCGGATGAAAATGTACCCGAAACTTTGACTAATTCAATGCAAAAAGAGTGTATCTTGTACAACACTTAAACAAAAATCATCTTCATTTATCAAAATGCCAACCCCGGTGAAAAGTTTTGCATGGTTACAAAGTGCAAAAAGAAAACAACAAAAGAAAAGAAGAAAAAATCTAAGCATTATCGCCACCGGGAGAGGGATCTGCCCCCCGGTGGAAGAGGGCGGATCAAATACCGGTTTGGAGCATGGACCTTCATCATCACTCTCTTTAGTCTCATCCTTGGTTCCTGAGTAATAGGAACCGATGCTCGAAGAGTCAGTTGCAGCAGGCCAAGCAGGAAGATTTTCTTGGACACTTAGCTCTAGTTCTCGGGCCTTGACGATGCAATTATCGATATCGACAATGTCTGCTTTGGTCTCTTACAAGGTTCTCCTCCTTATATGGTACATAGCATAAGTATTTTCAAATATGAGGGAATCCTCTTGGTACTGGAGCTTCGCCTTAAGCCTGTCAACCTTGGCCTGAAGGTCGTCCCTCTCGGATCTTATGGCACCAAGGCTAGAATCGAGATCACGAGTTGTAGATAGATGAATCCGTTTTATCTCCATGATCATTTTAAATCTTTCTTCCATCCTGGCCCTCATCTCCTCGGCGGCAGTGGCCTCCTCGGTTTTGAAGCTCAAGGCTGACTTCAAGTTATTAACTTGTTCCTCGGAGGCAAACTCGCGCTCAGCGGCCACAAGTAAAATATCTTGGAGCTCGGCCCACTTAGTCTTAGCCTCTTGGAGTTGCTCATGTAATGAAGTTGCTTTTTGGTTGTGGGCCATCATCTCTTAATCACTTTG